CCCCAAAACCCCAAAACCCCAAAACCCCAAAACCCCTTAAGGAAAGCAACTTATTGAAAGAATCAAAACATAAACATTTGAAGTTATCCTTCAGCCATTTTGGCTAAATCCTGTAGAAAGTTCACTTCATTTGGATCGAAATTGACGTTTCAGAGCATGTAGTTCAAAAGTTTACCCACTGGGATGGATCTTTGGAGGAATTCATCAAGACCGAGGTCCTTTGGAGCTTGCTGTTTGGCATTTATTCCCTTCTCCTCTTTCAAACAATCTATAAGGATGAAAGTTATGAAGTACTCTTTATAATCTTAGTTTTGAGATTTGATTTTGATCCTCTCTTTTCTATACTCATCATCAGCACGATTAATAAACCCATTTTGTTACTTTTTAGTGAGCCTTTATCTTCTTTGGGAAAACTAGTTAGATAATTGGTATCTGAGAGCCATTCATCAGCTTTTTGAAACATTTGAGAGGTCTTCTTCATTATTTTAGGAGTCTGTCTACCTCTTTTCTGTGATGAAGACTGTCGTTCGGGAGACTTTTTCATTCGTAGATTATCTACGACCATTAGATATGTAACCAGTCTACAACTTACTTGATATCTTAGAGTCAGGTCTTAGCTGCTTTAGTGAGCTTCGTGCTCTCAATTTCTTGACTTTTACTTTTGAGTTGCGAAGATTTGATTTATTGTACACCAATAAATCCTTCCGGACTATAATTTATAAGCAATAAATACTCAATTTATTGATCTTCTTTGGGTTAATGTTCAACTGCAAGATTACAGGGGTTTCTAGACCATTAAGGCTAGAGCTTACTCTTTGTCTTCTTCTTTGAGTTTGACTTATTTAGAACTCGACCTTCTCCTTACTTTCTTCACGGTCTTTGACTTTTCAGGTCATAAGGAAATTCTTGAATTGATATTTAAATCTCTTTGGTCTTGTGTCTTCTGCATGAAACTTTCTTGGTAAAGGGCTGGATTCTATAGAAAGTTAGTTTAAAGACAAATCAAGTACCTTCCGAGTCTGTGCCATTTCGAACTCCTCTTGTTCTTGAGGCTTCTTGCAAGAACTTGAGTTCCCTCCTGTCTGATTCTCTATTTATACTTATAAATTTATGCCATACCAATACTTGAGAAAGCAGGAGTTTGGAAAGTTTTCTGTTTCTCAAGAGTAATGGCCTCATTTCTAAAGCATTAGTAAGCTGCGGGTTACTCCTTAATACCCTCATGTTCATGGTCGTCATCTTCTTCTAAATGTGACTTTGTAATTTACTCTCAGGAGTAAGGAAAAATTCGAATTCAACATTCTGGGGTGGATTTTCATCGTGAGGTTTATTACTCAGTGCGGAGTTCTCTAAACCTAGAGTTAATACCTCTTTGGTCTCCTCCAAAATGATACAGTTATGCCTTACCTTCGGTTGGGTGGAGGGCGATTTTAAAATTTCCTCTCAGAATTTACAACCCCAATATTCTCTCTAAAATTCTTGAGTTTAATAATAAGAAATTTTGAAAAAGTTGGCGGATTTACTTCTCATGCTGGGAATTAAACATATTTTCCTCTGCTTTTTTCTTATAACTAGTCATGTTCTTATTTGTGATGTTTAGCAGCTGGAGTGAACTTTTTATTCTACAAATTAATCGTTAAATTCTGCTATATTATTACTTGGATGGGCTTTCAGTGACTTCTGCAATAGTATCCATTTCAGCTTAATTATTTCAATTTTGAGCTCAAGGAATGGGGTTTTGGGGTTTTGGGGTTTTGGGGTTTTGGGG